CACCCTCTCGGAATCCGTGACTGGTGGTGGTGCCTGACTGCAGTGAAGGCATTTCTCCTGGGAGTTTCTCTATCCCAGCTCTGTTTATAGGGAATATAACAATTCTGTAATTTGCATTGCTCAAATGATTCCAGACCATCTTGCCCTTTCTTTAAATCACCATCATTTTGAATATATGTGTATTATCATGATGGGTCCAAGACTAAAAGTTAGGTTATCAATGCTACTATACCATGGTCACCCACAAATTAGATATGTCAGCCTCCCCCAGATTGACACAGTCACTACACTGCTGAAAATGAAAGACAGCAGGATGAGTCTATCAATCTGTCTCAGATAATAATAATAACTGTAATGGTAACAACAACAACAATAACAAATCTATATTAAATCCAGCAGCATCTGTAAAAACTTGGGGATTGTGCAGAATAGTCCCCCCAAATTGTGTTTTTATTCTGGACTGTCACCAAATAGATGTCAGAAGACTTTTTGTGATACTCAAAAGTGATCACATAATTTTCAAGATGCTTTCTCAAAAGGCTTATTCGTCTTTGAATCACACAGTTGTCTGCCTGTTCTGCTCCTCTGCAGTCTTGTTTCATGCCATGTTCTCTCATCTGCTGGGCCTGAGCCCTCTTCCAGTGGGCTCTGAAGTAAGGACGCTCTGCTGTCTCCTCTCCTTAGAATGCCCCACTCTGTTTTTTTCCAGGTCTGCCTCCTCTTCTCTGAGATTTCACCTCCACAGGCTTTCCTCAGAGGAGATGATTCTGACACCCCCACGTCCAAGGCACTTGCTCTTATAGTCTACACAACACTCATCACCAAGTGAAATTGGCTAAATCACTGTGTACTTCCTTGTGATCTGTTTTTTACTCCCACAAACACAAACCCATTAAATATGAATTTTGAAAGGAACTATACAGAGAGTGTATGAATTATCATCCCATATGTCTCATATGGCAATATGGACAGTTTGAGATTAGTTTAATTAAACTACAACTGGCTAAAGCACATGCAGACTTTAGAGAATCACTAAGGCATAAATAGTCCCTGGAGAAGGAATAACAAGAGGGTGATGTTAGCTCACTAAGACTGAAGGAGAGAGAGGGTCTAGGGACACAGGCATTATCTAGTGAGGGCCCCTGGGATAGAAGGAATGGGATGTGGGCTACTATGGGAACAAAAGCCCAGGCCGATTTCTGTTTTACTTGACAATACACTGCCAATAGACCTAAGGCTTCCTGGAGCCAAGGACAAAGTCTAGAAAAGCATTAAAGTAGATCTGTGGGGAGTGGGGGGTGGGCAG